GTGTGTGTGTGTGTGTGTGTGTCCACGTGCAGGTGTGACGCTCTACACCTCATCGGACGCCTCGTGCGAGCCATGCGCCGAGCAGAAAAAGATGCTGGGGACGGCCGGTGCGCAATCCAATCCAATGCACTCTCTGCAGCTGTCAACCGCATGAATTCTTGTGGTGAGTTGTGTGCAGGCAACGAGGCGATCCACATAATTGAGTGCCCACCATCCAGCCGCAGCAATGGTGATGACGACAGTGTTGCGGTTGCTGCTGCGGGCGACAAGAGTGGGCCACTAGATAGGAAGAAGCAAAGGCGGCGGCTGCAGCAACACGACGAACCTGACGAGCCAGATGACGATCCATGTGTAAAGGTATGGCTGACTCACAGACATAAACAGAGAGCCGTCAGCAGAGAGAGCTGTAGCGCATGTCATGTGTGGGTGTGTTTGCCCATACTGCAGGTGTCTGGCCACAGCCTGCCCGTGTGGGAATTCCCATTAACCCCTGTGGCCTCATCCGAGCCTCGGCTGCTGGACGGTCCTCTTTCACTTGAGCAGCTGCAGAAACACCTGAGTGACACTGACTAATGGGGAGAGAGAGCTCTCTCCTCGCGCGTCTTTTTCGTTCGTTCCGTCCTTGTTCACATTATGATGTATAGGCGGATGGGATGCGTGCAGGCATGTGTGTCTTTTGGTGGCTCTTTTTCCCTCGAGGCTCTGTTTATCTATCGGTGTGGCAGAGGGTGTGGTGTACATCCTTCCATGTGTGTGCAGCGCTGCGGGCTGGTGTGGTGAGCAGAGGCCGCCACACCGCACATTTTGCCCTCCTCCTTCCTTCGTGTCTTGTACAGCCAACCAATCGTGATGCGTGTCGTGCGTGAATGTGTTGTGTCATTTGCTCGCTCGTGAGTCAATCAGTCAGCGGAATGAAGCGAGCGATGTACAGGAAGGACAGTACACGAGACAGACGCGAGTACGCCTTTGATCTGACAAAAGAAGTGAGTCCATGCGCATCGCATACGTAAGTGCATGTTTGTGTGAGGGCACATGAGCAGTGCACGCCCCCTCCCACCCTGTTTGCCTGCCTGCCTCCCTCCCTCTCTGCACACACAGCCCACCCCTGCGCACATCCGTGTGTGGGAAGGTGCCTGCCCGCGTGCTGCGCACTCCTGCACAACCGCATTCACGAAATTCGCAAAGCCTACGCGTAACTAGGGTTTGGCTGAGCACATCAGCCGCCTCTCCGCCCCCCTGCAATGGGAAAAAGCCTCCCAGAAGAGAGTGTTTACAGTTGCGAGCTTGAGTGGTGCTAGGGGTCGCTAACGGCACATGCCCTCTCCGCAAACACAACAGCACCAGAGAGGCTCACACACAGAAAGGCCACACACGAAGCGAGAAGCAGCCACAAGGCCCCCCAGCTGACATTTCCCTCTGTCTGTCTGCCTGTCTGCTCAGGAAAAGGGTGATCTATCTCAAGGAATCGGCCATGCCGTCAAGGGCCCTAGCAAGGCTTTTCTGACCTCTTGATGAAGGTGC